TTAGAAGAAACTATTGGCTCACTGGATGCAGAAGCAGACAGTGGGGTCTCTACTGATGAGACCGACTACATGGAGCCCTCCAAGCTGCCAGGGACATGGCCTAAGAGAGACTCCGTTCCCCAGGGTAAGCTGGAAATCCATGCTCCAGCCTTGTTTGCAAAGGGACTTTCTCGTTGGGGTGCATTCCCTTGGCAGGCAGGGAAGGAGCATTGCCCCAGTTTTATGCACGTGGTAAGCTAAAGCCAGCTTGTTTTCGTCACTCCGTGGTGAGAAGTGGCTGCAGGCAGAGAGATAGGTAGGGCACCAACTGCATTTTCCCAGTTCTCACGTGCAGGAGCTGCTAGCAGCTGCCTAGCAAGGTCGGCAGAACCGCAGGGCAGAGCATCTTTGCTTGTGCTCGGAACAGGCTTACACGGATTAACAAGGCTCCCCATTCACCGCGTGCTTTGTCATTTCCAAAGTATCTGACTTTCTTAGCTGTGACAGCGTATTAGCTGGGGTCAGGGTAAACTTTCTGGGTGCAAGTACTCTGCCATGGCTGCACCGGTTTAGCAGGCGTGAAGAAGTGAGTCTTGTAAACAGGAAGGTGTCCTGTGTCCATCTGCAGAATGGTACATGACTTCATCTCTCTCTTTACCCAGATTTGGAAAATGGGGCTCCCCCTCCTAGTGTAGGTCAGCAGCAGGCAGCTGAACAGAAGCGCGGTAAGAACATCTCCGCAGCTCGGCTCCAGCAGCGGTTCCAAGCTCAGGCTATTACAGTCTTCCAAGGAACATCACTGTAGCAAACGCACAAAGAGCAAATGGAGCTTCTGACAGCAAAGTGACTGTCTGCATGGTGGAGGACCCAGTGCCAGCAGGTAAATCTTCACAGGAGATGGCCAAGGAGGACAGGCTTGACCAAGCCAACGTGAGAAACCAGATAAAGCCCCTGGGGTCTTTGATTATCCAACCTCCAGATCCCTTCCAGGACAACCTGGTGAGCCATGAGTGGTCCCGCAGCAATCACTCAGATGCCAAGAGGGAAACAGCCAAGGAGACCAAGACTTGGACTTCATGGGGCCAGTCAGAGAAATCCATGTTGGAAGAGGCCCCTCAGGACCCAGATGCCAAGCGTGGGCCTCCAACTGCCCCCAAACCACGAAAATTGCCACCAAATATTATACTGAAAACCAGCAAAAACAGCCCAGTGACACTCACCATGGAGCCCGGCCAGAAGGTAAAAGCACCACCTCCATCCTCGGCTGGCTCTCAGCCTGGCTCTGCCAGTGACACCACTGCCGAAAAAGCAAATTCGGGGCACCTCGACCCCAAGGAGAGGGAGAAAGCCCGGCGGGAGGCATTGGAGAAGCTTGGACTGCCACAGGACAGGAGGGAGCCCAACACCCACCTTCAACCTACCATGCATCCCCAACCAAGGGAGATGGCATTCCCCGTCCCTGGGGATCCCGAGGCACACTGCAGGGCGGCGGAGAGGTCGGTGCCGGGTATCCGGCAGATAGGCTTCAAATCCAACACCCTGGAGCGCTCTGGCGTGGGGCTGAGCAGCTACGTGACCAGCGCCAAGGAGCAGAGCATCAAGACCAGCAGCTCCCTGGGCAAGATGTCCTTCATCGAGCGGCTCGCCCCGAGCTTCCTCAGGAGCAGCCGCCCCCGGACAGCATCCCTCGGGGCAGGGAAGGACTTTGCTGGTCTGAAGGAGCCCGAGCAGGTAGAGCAGGAGAAGAGCAGCAAGCGGCGATCCCACCCACTGCAGAGCTTCCCCAGGCCACCCCACTCCTGCGTCAGCGTGAAGATTTCCCCCAAGGGTGCAACCGATGAGAACCGGCGAGAGGCACTGAAGAAGCTCGGTCTGCTGAAGGAATAACTCTGCGGGCGGCGGGGCTGCTGGAAAAGGGGCTTTTCATCCTGGATCCAGGTGCATTCACTGCCTGTCCTCGGGCAGCACAACCATAAGCATCTTCTGCATCTTCCTGCCCCAGCACCCTGGGAGGGGTACCACGAGAGGCATTCGGAGCTTCACACCAAATAAAGTAATGCCATGTGTACATCATCTTTTGTATATAGCAAGTGTATATGAGCTATTTTATATAAAGCATCACTCAGCGTGTGGATGGGGCATATTCTCCTACAAGGTCTTTAATGCATTTGTGGATTCATTGCGGCGGGGAAGCCACGGAATTGGGGGTTTGGCTTATTTTAAAAGAGGTTGCCCACAGATAAAGCCTCTCTGGGAAGAAGTGCAGGACTCTGCTGCTCCTTTAGGATTTTATGGGGTTTTGTTAACTTTATCCAAAGCCTGCGAGGCCTGAGCACTCACCTGCCACCTGCAAAACTGCCAGGCTGATGGGAACCGGAGGGGGCTCAGCAACGCTCCCCCCCAGACGAGTGCTCCTCGTACAGCGCCTGCAGGCGAGAGGCTGGACGGCTGCACAGACATCCCACTGCCTCCTCCGCTAGACTGCTCTCACATCCAGCCCTGACAACCTGGATATAGCACTTAAAAGTAAGACATACACGCATCCGTCTTCATCATGAAGTGACAGTTAAGAAGTGGCATACTGTGTTTCAGTGGCAAAACCAGAAATGCTGCCCAAAACAAGAGATGCAAATCTGAGACAACACCATTTCATTCCCTTTCAAACTCCCCTCACGTCTTTCAGACACAGCTGATGCTGTCAACGTTTGTGCTGTGCACCTTTTATAGCAAAGGTGGTTTATTTCTGTAATAAACTTGTATATGATCAGAAAAAGACTGTGTAATACAGATTTACTCTTGTGTTGAGTCAGAGCTCTGGTAAAGCTAAATAATGAGTGTTAACCTTCAATATGTCTTGACTTGAGGAGTGAGTGACCCAGACAGCAGCCGGGCATCATAAATGATGAGGTCTGAACTGGAGACTTGGGCCTCCTGCAACCCAGGAGCTGCACAAGACGGGATTTCATGTCAGCGCTTCCAGTACATTAAGCAGATGCAAAGTCTGCCACGGCACTGCCAGACTGGGACCAGTGACATGGGACCTGCCACTGCTCCAGTCGATCCCTTCCAACCTACACCATCTCCTGGGTCTGTGGAGACATCTCCCACAGCAGCCGTGTTAGTTGAAAAGCCACACTAGCAGCTTAGCTTGAAAGGATCATTTTAATTTCCTCACCAAAAAAGTCTCTCATGCAATCCTGGCTTTCGGTGTTGGCCCTCTAGAGAGCGCCTCTGCTAATAAAGCACACGCCTTTGTTCCTAACGGGCAATTTGATTTCAAATCTAACGTAGGCTTCCTTTAGAGAGAGGGGCTGACCCGTGGAGGCAACTGCACTACACAATCTACTGATGTTAATTAACTGCTTGCAGCATTAAGATAAAGTTGCACTCAATCGTTTTCATCGCTGACCTAGCAGTACAATCAGCTTTTAAAGACAGTGTTGTGAATACTAAACAGGCTCGTACTAACAAAACCCAGAGCCAGGCTTCTAATTCCTCTCCCAACAGGCATCAGCAGAGCTTTGGTTTTGCATGGAAAGAAAGGGAGGGCATCCTTCTGCAAAAGCTGCATCATTTCACAAACCCCCACATAATAAAGGTGTGTACAAGAGGAAGGAATAGTACCGATACCGACCCACGTAAAGAATCCAAGGAACACGAGAAAATGATGTCTGATTAGCTACGCTTCATGAAAGCAGGGAAATGCTTGTTTGTAGTTAAGCAATTAACTAAATTAGTTTTGGGCTAGCCAGCAGTAATGCAAACCTGTACATCAGGGAGGAAACTAGGAGAAGCCGCACGGGCTAAGGTCTGACCGAAAACGCAGCAGGTTGCTCAGCAAACACCGCGTTGCAGGTACATTAGCTCCAAAAGGGAGAAGGAGCCTGGAAAGTCATTAACTCCCCCAGCCTGAGCCCAGCGCCTCATTTCAAGCCTGGAGCCGCGTTGGCAGTGGCCAGGCAGGACTAGCAAGCTGCTGCGTGGCTGCATGCCGTGGGCGATAACTGCAGCCCGAAGCCCCTTCACCAGGCGCAGGGATGGCTCTAACCCCAGGGCTGCTGGGGAGGCAGCTCTGCCACGTGCCTGGGGCATCGCCAGTGGTTTAAGGGGGTTAGGCAGGATTAAGGCTGTTTGCCTTTGAAAGCTGAGCACGGTGCAGATACTGCCCTACACACAGCGCTCTGGGTGCAAGCCTGTCCCAATATGAATGGGTCATGATAAACACGGCCAGAGCTGAGGTTCCCCCCCGTGCAACTTGGTCCACATGGCCTTGGGAAGGTGCCTCCGGGCTAACGCGTGGCCAAAGAGCAAGGGGGCTGCTCTGTGCTTACAAACTGGGCGCTCGCATCCATGCCATCCTGCCCTCCTCCTCGGCTGCCTGCTTGTGCCGAGGGCAGGGGCCACCCCGGCTGAAGCAGGAGGCAGAAAGAGCAGCTTGGTTTTAGGAAACCACTCCCCGATGCTGCAAAAAGTTCTGTGAAGCTGAGAGGTGGCCGCCCTCTCTGCGAGAGCAGGATCCGTCCATCAGCAGCAGGGCTTGACTCTGGGTGGCACCAAGCAGAGTCATGTGTCTGCTCTTGCGTAAGGTCCCAGCCCAGCAGTCACACAGCCCGCGGGGATAAACACCTTCGTTTCTAATGGCTGCAAACACATCTAGACTGTGAAACCTCATATATTGCTTGCAGGATTAAACAGCAACGCCTGCTTTTGGAACGGGGCTTGCCCATGGTGAGTGATTCAACCCAGCAGCAGCACTTCACCCCGTGGAAAGGCAGAGACCTGGACTTCATTCCCAGAGAAATGACCCTGATCTCCTATGGCTGTTTTAATTTATTCTCTTTTGTTTCCATTTCATACCAACCGGGCCATGTGCACAACTCCTGTTAATAAACATCACTCCACCCCATCATAGCTTAATAAGCAATCTTTGTGAGATTTCTGCTAGGAATTCTAATCAAAACTTAGCTTTCATGCTTGACATTTATGTTACACTGTAGTACTCCCTGGTTTTGACTAAATAAGCCAAGGATTGGAAGAGAATCCTTTGTTTCCAAAACAATCTGTTTTTAAAAGAAGTTAAGGTTCTGTTTCAGGCCAAAAATGCTTTGAGAGAGACCTTAATGCTCACCTCCTTTCTCATTAGATAAACAAGGTGAGATTTCCTTTGAGACTGCAATAGTCACGTATCTACATTATGCAAGTGACATGCAGTGAGACAGAGCATTAAGTAGGATAATGCTGGAATCAGCAGTAGGTAAAAAGGAGTGGTCAGAGAGGAGCGTGTAGATGAAAATGCACCAGAAAACCACCCTCATTTTCACTATACAAGGAAGGATGAGGAATAAAAGGCAAATAAACTGCCTGCATATTACTATTCCTGCTAAAACTGCAAAGTCCACAAAGGTTTGGAAGAGAATAGAAAGCTCAGTCCTGACAAACTTATCCACGGGTGCCAGCTAAGTTTTCTGTCTCTATGATATTTCTACATGGCGCTAGTGGACGGGACAGGGAAGACAGAGCTCTGCTCTCACAGGAGGAGCTGGCAGCCCTGAAGGAAACAGCTTCTGTCTCAGAACAGAGACATTTGTTCTAAAAAGGCAACAGACTACAAAAGATGGAGCTACCAGATATCTTGCAAGAACTGGCTTCAGAGGGCTGACCCCTTCACTCAGAGCTTAATCTTGCATCTTCCTCTCCTCTTCCATTTATGCTGTGTTCTCTCTGCCTTTAAAGTCAATCATTTGCACTTGAAAGTCTACAGCCTGAGGAGTGCAGCGCTGGGTGGGAACCTCTCCTACTGCCTGTCTGCACATCAGGCCGGTTGAAGCCTGCCAGTTCACACAGGCAGCGCCAGATATTCCCTCTTTTTGTTTGCAGAAGGAGCTGGGAAGCAGCATCAGTCACAGCAGCCCTGCATTTACAGCCACCCAAATAATTGCTCCCCAATGCTGGCCCGCTCCCTCCATGCCAGGCAGCAAGGACCACAGGGAGCAAAGCTCTCCTGCTCTGATGTAACCCATAATCCACAGACTCAAAGGAAGAGATTTACCTTTGCTCTAGCCCAGCCCGCATCTCTCATCAGCAGAGTCTCCAGCAACGAGCTGCTCCTCAGCCAAGTGCCCGTGGGATCCCCACCATCACCCGATGCAAGAGCAGCCAAACCAGCCTCAGTTTACAGACTGGCAGGAGCCTCAGCAGGGTGATGAGCCTCTCTTTTATAAGGGGAAAAGCTGGTGGGCACTCAGATGAGCTACCGGCTGTGCTCCTGCCGCCCGCCGGGACTGACGCCACGCGGGCCGTGCACCGGCTGATGCGGGGAGCCGCAGCGATGTTGCTCATCTCGCAGAGAGGCGAGGGAAAGGCTGCTCCTGCCTGCTAATGCCTATTATTGGCATGTGGGGGTGCCTGGGAGGTGGACAGGGGAAAAGCAAGAACAGAAACAAAATCTACCTCCACGTTCAGACGAACTCCAACCGAGTTCCCGGGCTCTTGTCTGGGTACCTCTGAAAGCAGACTCTTACTACTTAATTCTGGGCATAATTTGCTTGATTTGCTCCTGGAAGGCAAAATCACAGCAGACCCCAGCCAAAAAAACAGCCATGAAGAGAGACATAATATTTCAGAAGTAACCTGAAGAGTTAGTAAATGTACCCTCAGTGCCTTAATGCAGATTATACAGACTGTGTTTATGCGGTGCAACAATGTTAGAAAAGACCCAAAGAAAACACTCAGCTTTGCATTTGGCATGGAGTCTTCATCTCCTTCTTAACTTATCAGTCCCATACTGGCTCAAACATACCATTTCCATGTCTACATGAGCCTGTCAAGACCTACTATTCCAATTAAAAGCACTCTTGCGCACATCTTCCATTACAAAGATCAAATTC